TTTTAATGAACTTGTACTGTAAATATATCTAGACAATAATTCTAATTAAATATGTTAAATTTGTATATCTAAATCATGTTAAAAAAAACCAGCTATTATAATAAATAGAGATTAAATAAGAAAAAACCCTATTTAAAATTTTTAAATTTTTAATCAACCTAATAGAGTACACATAAATATATAATAGTAATGGGTAGCTTTTCTCAAATAACTTACGAACATATTAATACTGTATTGTAACAATTTAGTTTAAGACTTTTATTTTTTGATTAATTAAACATCTTACTAAATTATTATCATAATTGAAAGTCACTATATAAGGTTGAAGTATTCTGTACATATTGGTTTAATTATGTATCCACCTTATTTATGCTAAAGAAATTTAGTTTTTCCAAATTCAGAACTGTTATATATAAGTACCAAACATGTAATTAAGTATTCACTGTTTAGTATATAACTTTATATCAACTCAATAAAAAGGTTTCTCATAACAATATTGGATAGTAGATGTTTTCAAAGAAAAATTAGGTTTAGCACATCATGAAATTCAAAAAGAGTGGCAGCACAACAGCACCCTTATGACAGCAAGATATAAACTGGTTCAAGTCTCCACCAGTTTGTTCTTCTTGAAAATATAATGCACCACAATAATGACATTTGATATCTATTCTTCCAATATCCACTTCAAAAGAAGAATCATTAGTAAAATGAAGTGCCTTACAACACAAAGATGGTTTTCCCTTTGAACGCTTTTGCAATGTGTTCTGTTCTTGCTCATGGTGTTGTCTAGTAGGCAACAAAGCAGCTCTTCTTTTGCATTTAACAGTGGTCTCCTGAACTCTCACTGACTTAGAATCTGGCTCTTGTCTTCTATGTTGTTGAGCATATGCTTGTGCAACCTTTTGGGACTCATTTTATTATATAAGTTATTGATAAAGTCGTACAGCACGAATAGATATTAAGACAGAAATCTTTATACTGGTATTTATCAAAATTAATGAAAGCTTTATGAAACTAATAAGCTTTGATGAAATGAGATGATTTCATCAAATTTGATATACTGTAACATCATTATTGATTTGCAATGTCATCATTGCAAAAAGACTTGTTAGGCATTAATAATCATGACATATAAATTTAATCATATAAGTTGAGATTAATTCATTTTCTAGTCGAGTCAAACATTAATTTTTTTCGTGCTTTAACTTATTCCAATATGTATGTGCTATATGTCAGGGCATACGCAGGAAAAAGAATATATGAAATTCAAAAATAGAGCATTGAGATTAAAATCTACAGATAAGTATCTATACATTATAATCAAAATTTCATTCATAACATTTTTAATCATTGCTCCAAGTAATTTTAGACAAATATTTTATCCAGTTTTTATATTGTGGTAACCCGGTGTTGAAATTTATGTTCTAAAAGGTTTGTTTTAATCAAATAAATACGCGTTGTGTAAGTTAACAAAAACGGTACAGTCCCTTAAACCAAATTCTCGTGTAACAATCAAAATAAAATTCGCATTATTTCTAGATCGATGGAACGGTGTAAGTGGATTTTTAATATCTTAGAACTAACAGAAGTTAATCCCGAATCTACCTAACTATGATTAACCGTGTTAATACTAAAAGATTTCGAATAATAATAGTATGAAATGAAATATTAATACATAGAAAGTAAGGCGTTCAGAATGAAAAGAAAATATGATAGTAAAACGTCCCGAAAATTTACATATGTAGATCATGTGAGCTTAAATAAAGCAATGTGATTGGTAATTTCAGCGATTGTCGACTCTGATTGGCTAATGTTGACGGACGGACAATGCACTTTAATATATAGATTGAATTCGAAGCAGAAAATAAGTAATACCGGTAGTTTTCGACCGCCCTTTAACAACGAAGCTCCACAATGTTATGTGAACGTGATGAAATGATGTTGGAATAAAGATCCAGAAAAATGGCCAGCAAAAGAACTCTGAAGTTTTTAAAAAATGACGAGAAAATTATCAAATTTTAACGGAATTAAAGATACTTAAGCATATCAAAAACTTTGACATAAATGCAAACAGCGGTAACAAACTAATTAATTTTTTTTTATAATAAAAAATACTAATTATATTGTAAGATGCAAATATTAACTTAGAAGTGAAACCTGTCATTTTTCACAAAACATATAGATCGATATTTGTTGCAACTTGCAGATCCCCTCATTACCCTGAAAATTTTCTTGCCCGTTATCGGATCAGGTTTTACAAGTCATTATTGACCCACCTAGTATCGCCACAAGATCAGGTACGTAAATCCGGAGCTTAAATTTATTTTCCGAAATTAAAATTAATGAAATACATTTGAATAATAATACATAATACATAATAATAAAAATAATAATTTATGTTGGAATTTTTTCTTTTAATGTTGTAATATTTTTCAAAATGGAAAATACGAATCAACTTTGTTCGTCTTGTTGGATTATAAAACCCAATACTGCATTTCAAAATAATAATAAAATTTTGCATTGAATGTTCAAACCGCATAAATGAAAGCAAAAAAAAAGAAAACGTAAGGATCAAATTTTAAACGATATTTGCATGCAAAAAGAAATTTCTATAAAATCCGAAGAGCTTGAATATATAGTTTATGAGAAACTTATGGATATTGAAGGAGAAAGTAATATATATATGGATCTTGATATAA